TGGATTGAATCTCTAAAATAATATAATTCTGAGCTTTGCTTAGGATGTGTTGTCCCACCTAATTTCTCATTCAGTAAATGTCATCCAGGCTGCACAGTTATACCACTTTTTAAAGAAAAGAAGTATTTTTTCAAGAGTTGGTTAGTCTCTCATGCCAATATTAAAATTCATGGACATAGAAGTTAATGGTAGGTACCAAGAAAATAATGTTTTATGAGGTGCTAGAAGTGTTTCAGGACTTAATGCAATTTTACTTCATTGAACGCTGACTTTTGGATTCAAAGGCCAAGTGAGGAATAACTTGATCAAAAACCAAAATAGATTGTCTGACGTGCAGCTTGGTCTTATTTAGGATGAATGTTGATCTTGTTGTAATACTGTAATGCCAAACCCGGGTCAAGAACCTGCAGTTTGTTGCCCAGTCTTGGGAACTCTTCCCCTCCCCACTGCTTTGTGACCAGCATCATTAGGTCATGTCTGCACTGCATTGGTAAGCTCTGCTGGGTACGAGTAGTTGTTGTTCAACTGTGTTGGAAGGTGCCTTGCTTGGCTCTTGGGCACAGTAAAGTAATAACGATGCACAGGCTGGTCGGGTCGATGTCTGCTAATGTTTGTAAATGTAAAATAATAAGTCTTTAATAATTACTGTGTGTTGCAGTAGAATTTTAAGCTATTTGAATTTGTCTTTTGGAGAGATGTGCAATCATACTGTATTTTCTGAAGTTACTTTTTTTTTTTTTTTAGGGAACTAGGAAAAGGTTACCAAATGCAGAATAGTTTGGTGTATTGTTTTACTATTTGTGGGGTTTTTTTAGGTTGCCAAAGGTAAAGAGCTTAGAGCTGTAATTTACTTACATGTGAAAGCTACCAGTTAGGGTTGTTCTAGTCTAGCACTAATAAAACTAGTGTTTAGTGTGTTTGATCAGGCAAAGTCGGCAGTTACTGTACCGGTCCACCATCTGTGCTCATGTAGATTGACTAACTACAGGCTGTGGGCTTCATGTGAGCAGTGGTTCTTTGCCTTGATAAATTTGTCATCCTAATGACAAATGCAATTTTACAATGTCTGTACTGGTGTACTGCTAGCAATAATAGAGCTATGGAAAACAGCTTTCAATTTCAGTTGTAGTAGCATCCTCTTAAGGACCAAATAGCTTTTTAGTGATGTTAATTATTTCCAGTGAGTGTTTGTGGCTCTCGAAACTGAGTGAAAGAACAACCCCTTCTCTCTGCTTTGTACCATATAAAAAGAAAAGATAGCTGAGGTATTGGGGATAAAATAATAGGACAAAACTATAATGTGCATCATATGACAATTGTTCTTGAGTGTTAAACATTCTGTGCTGTGTTTAGTGAAAGTACATGAAGTTAAGTTACGCTGGTTTTTTAGCATGTGTTTTCAGAATGGTGGCTTCAAAATATGCAATATAATATTATTTTTCTGGTAATTTTAATAAAATTGTCACAGAGTAATTGAATTTTTAATCATGACCAGAAATCAGAACAGCAGCCCCTGATTTTCTCCCAGATTCATGAATCTGAGTTACATTTGGGATATTTGGGAAACTCGTTATTAAAATATTAGAAAAATGTAATGCTTGAATTTCATTTATTGATCAACTGTTGCAGTTTCAATTAAGCAAATAATGTTATGTATCTTATTCCCTGGCTCACTTGGTAATTTCTTAGAAAATAATTACTAAAATGTTTACAGTGTCTGATACTTCTAAGGGCAGATTAATGTTTATAGTCTTCCCCAAACAGATGTCTAAGCACTTTCTAATACTACCTGTGAAGAACTGTGGCTTTGTTTTCTGGAAAGTTATAAGAAAGATATAAGAAAGATATAAGAAAGTTCACAGATATGCACTGGACATCCTACAGTTTGTGACAAGTCCCTTACTTCTGCTGCCCTTAGTTTCCATAAGCTGGGGGTATTAATTCTTTTTACTGCTTGAAGAACATAATACAAAACAAAGTCTGCTCCAGATCTGCTATTCCAGCAGTGAATATTTTAACGGTAGTTTTCTTCTGAGTATCCTTCTAATAAAAGCTTGATGATTTATTCAGATGGTAAATTCAAGATGATGTTTGAAAATCATACCAAAGGGACATGCTTGTATTTGTTAGGGATGGCTGTCAGAGCACCTCTTGTGTGTGACTCTGAGGAAGGATGTTCCTTATACTAATGGTTCAGCTGACATGAAGGAGCTTGTTTCTTGTGGTTTTATAAGGGAACCTGGGGGGACAGTTGTGATGTTTGTTCCACAGGTAAAGGCACTTAATAAGTAAGAGTTTTTCTGATTAAAAAGACAATACTTAACAGTTATAGCAGAGACAGCCTCATGCTTAGGGGTGGTGCATTCAGACTTAGTGTTAATTTTAAAATGTTTTATTTAGGAGGATTTGCAAGGGTTCAGCTGATGCAACTATCTGCCATGTGGGTGTGTGGAGGGGTTGTTGGAGGCTGTGGAGCTTAAAATTCTGCATACGCACACTTTGAAAATAGCCTTGTGTATTGGACTTGGGCTTTGTGTGTGCAGGTTTTATTCTAATGTATTTAGTTCAGCAGTTAGAAGGATTCCTGTCTTTACAGACCTGTTGCAGCTAGTGAGTAGAAAGGAGTAGGTGTGCTTCTAATAGTGTCTGAATAATCTGATACCACCCCAGTGCATATAAATAGTATGTAAAAGTATATAATATAATCTAACCTATGATATTTGAGAAGATATGTGATGTTTTTGGAAGACTGGAAAATGCACTGCATTTTAAGCCTTTTCAAAGTGCATCCTGTTAGCAGTAGAAGGTCTTGACAATGACAGTGGAATGATAAAGGTTTTAATTAACTACTTTTAGAAATTAAATTTGTAACACTTCTCTGTGCTTTATATCAATCTAAAGAGGGATGTGAAAATTTCTTCATCATTGCAAACAGAAACTGATGGTCAGTAGCTGCATCTTGGAGGCAGATTTGCCATCTGGAAAGTTTTCCTAGCATTTGCAGCTTATCATTCACTAGCTGAATGTGTTTTACTTCTGTGAGGTGTTGGTAGCTTAGGGATTGTTTCAGCTGTGCTGTCTTATGCTTGTCCTACCCACTCACTTTTTCTTTATCTATGCCTTCACATACCTGCTGTGGTGTCCATTCCAAGCAATAAAACTATTACGTGTTAGAGTAATATAGAAGAGCAACTTGCCCAAGTCTTGTTTTGTTTTTTTAATGGTGACTGTCAAGCAGCAATAAAGCTAAAGTATTAAAATAATCTTGAGAGACCCGAGAACTCCTGGCAAAAGAAATAAACACGTGAATATTACAGGTTTTCCAAATTGTGTGTATTCTGTCACTCAAATTTTACACAAACTATTACATCCACAAGCTTAAATCTTCAGATAAGTGCCCAACTTTGAATTTGAAACTGAAGATATGTGAGCAGTTGTCTATCTCATGCTAGCAGCTATTTCAGGACACTTCCATTTGTGATATGTCTTTTCCTTGTTTGCAGGGGGAGTATAGTTGGCTAAATTGCTATCTAAACTCACTTTCAACAGAACTGGAAATAAAGCTCTTGCTGAATCAAGTCTCATCCAAAGGACTGCTTAAAAAGATTAGGCCAAATCTCTGGGTTTGCTTACCTTCTTTGCTACACCCTGTGCTCTAAGGCATTGTAGAGACAATGATGAATGTCTCAATTTTGAATCACATAACTGTGTGTTACTCCTTCTGAAGTACAAACATCATCTTAAGAAATTAGGTGCCTGTGTAATACATTGGCATAAGTTTTATGATTGTTTCAATTAGTAACCACTATTTATTAAACTACCAGTATTGGTAGATGGAAGTTGATCCTGTTGGCCTGTTAAATTTAACTGTGAAATCTTTAAAAGATCTGAATAGCTTAGAAGATAAAACAAAGTAGTGAATGAAGTGTTTAGTGTCATGGCTTGAATCCAGGCTGATGTCCTAAATTAATGCATCATGAAACCAAAACAGATCAACCCAGATTTACATGAGTGACGTATAAGAGCCCTGAAGCTAAGACAACATAGTGATTGAATTAGCTCCTGCATTTAGAAAGGATTCTTCCTCCCGGTCAGACTTCTAAGTGCTGATGGGCTTGTGTGGGGAACTAAAAGTTATAGATTGAAGTATGCCTACATTGTAGAGAAAAGAAATCTTAGAGCTTCAGAACTTTTATCTTTGACAAGTGTGACTGTTTTTTTCTAAGGGGGCAAAAAAGGGGAAATACTATGAACAGTAATGGAAAAACTGGAAGAATTTGCATTAGCAGTGCTTCAGTCAAGGACCTGCCAATCTTCCCAGAAATATCTGTTTAAAATCTGAAACATTTTGTTGCTGCGGGGCTGATATGTACCTTATGCATTGCCCACCCTCATACAATACCTGGCTTGTTCTTTTAGTAAATAACTGTACTGCAGTGTGATGCTCATAAAGAGGACAATTTTGCAGACATTTGTGCGTGCAGGTACAAAAGTACAACATTTGTGATCCTTTCTCTAAATACCTTATTTTAAAATACTGACTATTTTTTAAAAACTAATGTTATAGGCCAATAAATATCAGATTAAAGAAAAGATATAATTGATGAACAGAAGCATTGCTTCTTTTAGATAATCATTATGTTTTTAATATAGTTTTCATTTTACATGCTGCAGGAAATAGTTATTAAACTAAATACAGTAATGTGAAGAGTGTTTTATTCTAGGGATCAGTATCATGACAAAGGTAATGCAAAGAGGTACTTTTTAAAGTATTTTCCTTCAAAGAGGCAAATATTTTTTAAGTATTTTCCCTCAAAGAGATACATTAAAAAATGTTCTACAATTTGTTTTAACTGGTACACTCTGGTTTTAGCTTTACCCTCAGATAAGATACTGATAAGTTTCAGCAACTGTTTTGTTAATGTCAGTGTTGTTTGCAGTTCTTATTTATGTACACTTGGATATTTCAGTAACCTGATATCTCCATTTTTGTTTCTCAGCATGATGTATCACAGACTTTGCTCAAAGCAACTCTGGACAGTGTGGTTGAAGAGTGTGTCAGCTTTGTAGGAGTTGATATTAACATCTGCTCAGAAATACTATTAAGGTGAGTCAAACATTTTCCTATTCCAGTAATTACATGGCTCTGGATCACAGAGTCTCTGTTTAGTCTGCCATCAGACTGAAGCTCAGCTGGAGCAAATGGCTCTTGTGTTAAACTTCCAATTACATGAAAATGACACATTAAGACAGTATTTCACTGGATCATTAAGAGTCAGTTTTTAAGGTTATGTTTTTCTCCAGAGTAAAACTATTCTATGGAGAAAAAGTTATTTAAAAATTTTGAACCAACATTGCAGTTTTAGAAAAACTTAATATAATTAACTTGTGTTTTTACACTGAGAAAAGGATTTTCAAATGTACTTTCTGTCTCTTAGAAGGTATTTTTATAGGAACTGTTAAGTGGAACAGGTTGTAAAAGTTGGGTGAGGAAGGGAGAAAAGGAAAGATTTAAGGGGAAACTGCTGAAAAAATTATCCACTTTGACTAACTTTTATATTTTTTTAATAAGTAAATATGCTGTATTTACTTGGAAAATGTGTTCATTCTCTGTTTTGAATGTGTAGAATTGAGAAACATTAGGCTGAACAGCCTCTCAGAAGAGCAAAGGTTTACTGTCATCTATCGTACAGTGGAAGAAAAAGAACGTCCATAATTTACATAGTGACAATTATATTTGGTATCAAGATACGTAGCTAGCTCTCTTTAATTTTTTAACCCTTTAATTCTTGAAAATGTCTTTCCATACTTTGAAGAAGCTCTATGTTTATTCTTTTGTTTTTCCACTTTGTCTTCCATATTCTTTTTCTGTGTATGTATCTGATTCTTATCCAGACTCCTGATTTACCTTCTGTCTTGCCTTCTTTCAGACTTAGATCAGCTATGAGTAAGAAAAACAACAATACCTACTGGTAAATGAAGCTGACCAGCTTTCATTCACGAATAAAACCTTACCTGAGCAAGTGCAGTGGGTGAGCACTGTGGCTCTTCTGCAGGGATTACAACTATATTGTGCAGTTCAGCAGAGGGCACAAGTCTGAGGTGCTGCTGTGTCTCCACAAAACCGTAAACATGGAGTGACACTGTTCAGTTATGGTTACAGGTGGTAACCATGTAGTCTAAATAACTGGTCTAATTTACTTGGCTTTTAAGCCTCATATTCCCATGCTGCATTGAGTTCTGAATCTAACTTTATCCTCAGCCATTCAATTTTGCTGTTCAATATAGACACAGTCAAAGTTTTCCACAGATGTGCAGTGTGTGAGATTGTCACCCTAGCTAGGATATACCATGAACAGGACTTTCAGTTCATGCTTTCTGACATATTAAGTATGCTTATTGGCACATGTTACAGGTGGAAGGAGTGACAATGCTACAGTATGTGCATTACTGCTGAGTACCATGCTTGAAAGAGTTGAGCTCGTCAGTGAAAAATTCTGTGAATTCAGTGTCATGTTCCTTTGTCAGCCTAAGTAAACTGGATTTCAAAATGTTTCTAAGATTTTTTCGAGAAAATTCCATTCCTAATCATTAATATTTTTTCTATGGTTAAAGGTGTGTCTCTCCAATTTAATCCTGAGGTTTCACCAACTTCAGATTATTTTTTTTCTTTTACTTGAGGGTGAAAATAAGGGAAAGATTTAATTTATTTTCCTATTTTTTTTTTTTACTATTCTGGCGAGGTTTGCTTGTAGTGTTTTTTTAGATTTAGCCTGTGACATTCCACAAACAGGTCTCTGCTGCCATTGATTTAAAGCAATGGCATCTGATTTATAGAGCCAGATGGGTGGCATATCCTTCTGTAGTGCCAGGAGTAACTGCCCACCACAGCTCCTTTCCCTCTTTCTATGAATAACATGCTCCATACACAGAAAGTTGTACTCACAGGTACCTACAGAAAATGTGCAGCAAGCCCACTGCTTCCTGAAAGAGCTTGGCTAGCTGCAGTTACTCTTCACAGGTGAGTTCTTTGCCAGATCCGAGCTGGCCTCGTGCAGCCTGTTCCCAGCTGCTCTTTTATCTCAAGAGCAGCTGAGAGAAAAGGAACAAGCTGTGTGGGCCTGTGAAATTGTGAGAGGAAGGCAAGCTGCTGCCAGCCACTCTCCTTCTGGATAGCAGACGTCAGCCCTTCATGTTGGGGCAAGGTGTTGTGGTACCATTGGAACAGAATAGCTGAGAGGGGGCTGTTCTCACAGGAACAATATATCTGTCCTGAAGCCTCCTCCCACGTCGTTTCCTGAAGAGGGCAGCTGGGGGCAGGCCATAAGACATGACAAACTGAATTGGCATTGCAGAAATAGCGAACAGATCATAAATTACATGTCCCTGCCTTACTGGTTAGGTATGTGCAGAGCTGTATTGCTGTACCAAGTTTTGTTGACCCGATTGGATTCCTTCCACAGAACTAAGAGAATGGATCCTTTTTCCGATGATGCCTTTGGTCTGGGAGTCTATTTGCAAATTTCCTAGCTGTTTTTAAGTGAAAGCCAGATTTTAATCTGTGTATCCCGGTAATGGATAGGACTTGTATGAATGACTGCTCAATGGTAATAAATGTGTTCTGTAACTTTTTCTCTTAGGCACATTGCAGGACTGAATGCTAACAGGGCTAAAAATATAATTGAATGGCGAGAGAAGAACGGACCATTTATAAACAGAGAACAGCTCAAGGAAGTTAAAGGTCTAGGTCCCAAATCCTTCCAACAGTGTGCTGGCTTCATTAGATTCAATCAAGAATATATAAAGAACTTCTGCAGGTAATAGAGATGTTGGCTGTCTTGACAAGATTATCCAAAACACTATGAGAAAACTTCTTTCCTTTCTGTTTTTTATTCAGGCTGGATATTTGAGGAATGCCAGAACTTTTCCCTTTGAAAGACAATATCGTAACAAATAAAACTTCTTTAAGTCAGTAGTTGAACATAGGTTTTTCACTGAATTATCACATTTTATTAGCCTAATACTGTAAGTCAGGGTTTCTATAAGTTTAATTTCAAATTCTGCCACTGAATTGGTAGAAGAAATTTGGTGTGCAGCAGTGTCATGATCTGAGATATTAAAACCTTACGGTCTTGTATTTCAGGCATAATTTAGATATTTGTAAATTTATTTTGATGTGGTAAAAAAAATACTTTGCAAAACATAATAGTAGTAAACTAGAGTGGATTTTTGGAGAGTTTCAATGTTGTTGCCTGGAGAGAAACAGTTGAACAAGCTGCCTGGACCAAGTTCTGTCTGTGTTATACTCCTGTACCTAGCAAGCCAGATGTGCCTGCCTTGTATCTCAAATGCATAAGAGGCCCTTTACCAACTCCAGTTTGTCAAGACTGAGTCATCCTTTTCCCCATCATTTCATTCCCTGTATCTGTACCAAGCCTTTCCTGCTTGTGACCATTCATTGTACTTCTCTTCACCTGAAATCCTTCCTCTCCACAACTGAAGTGCCCTTTCTTGGGCAACATCTCTTCTCCTAAATTTTCCATTTCTTCTTCCAACATAAAGATGTAAGAAAGGGTACAGTGGTAGCACCATCCCTACCCTTTTGCCGCTGACTCTTCTCAAAAAATATTTTCCTGGGAAGCGCACACTATTTTTTAGCCAACGCGATGCTCAGAAGCGATTCCCTGTTGCTGCTGGCCGAACAGCACACGCGTAACTTCCAGGCAGGAGGTAGGCACATTAGGACTGGCTGGCTGCCCGGGTGGAAGGTATACAGATTGGTTGCCCATCTGGCAGGGAGGTACATGCTGCAGGCCAAGTGGTGCACGCTTTAAGCACCAGAAGACCAAAGAAATTGCTTTCAAGGCTGTAGATTATCGATAGATCTTATATTGTGCAGGTCTGTTCTAGTCAATGCTACAAAACAACAGAGGAGCTGGCACCATAATTTTTTTTTCCAAAAGTTCACTGGTGAAATGTTTAAGAACATTGGCTTTTTTTTTTTTCCTTGATGGAGCATGCTCCTGGTGTTAGTCAGATTCAATAAAACTTGAGAACACTGTATAACCCAAGAAATCTGCTGTAGCTTTGGAATCTGAGGCCAAAATAAACCTGTAACACCACCACCTCCACGTTTCTTGTGGGCCCAGGTGGCACAACTGAATGTTTTTGAAATAGGCTTTGAGAATGTTTCATTTTTGTCCTCTCTAATCATGTTGATGGCTGTAGAGTGCTGTGTAGATTCATTTTTTGTAGTTTGTACTTGCAGGCCAACAAATAGTGGTTATTTTAAAAGTTGATACAGAAGGAAAAAATTATGTCTCCTTTTCTGCGACAGTCAATGTATACATAGAGCCGAAAGTGCAAGTTGTAGGTCCTTCCCTGTGTTCTCTTTTGTCCTGCAAAAACAAGAGCCTCTTGTGATTTAGGAAACAAAACCCAACAAACAAAAAGCCCAAGAAAGGAGCCTTTGCCATTAGGAGTCATTTGATGCCTTTACTGTATCCTGAGTACTCTTTTACTTAAGAGGAACTTAAAGGGAAGAAGAGTGCCAGTTGCAAATATGCTACACACACAAAGATAGAACTTTCTCTCCTGTCTACTGTGAAGTCCCACTACCAAATAGTGCAATCTGTCTATGGATCTCTCTGAGACATTGAATCACTTTCATTATCCAGCCAATTAAGAAAAAAAGTCCAATCCAAATGCTAACTGAAGTTAACTGACTAGAAGTCAATTATGTATTCACTAAGTTTTCAGGAAAGCTGTATTAACGTACTTTTGCAAAAATCGTTTATAAATTCTGAAATACTGGTAATTTTGACCTTAAACTTCTTTTCTGTTATAAGCAAATCTTGGTCTGAGTTCTTTTGATTTGAAATGTTTCATAATTTGATGTGTCCCATATTTGAGCAGAATTCTTCAGAAATGTAAGTACAGGAAGTCACTAAGTGTGGAGTCAGTAAGTTACAGAGTTCTGTTGTTTAAGCTTTCACATACTTTTCCTTGTTCTGTTTGCATGCTTGAGATGCAATTTGCTTACCTAAAGATAGGATGAATAGTAAAGTTTTTAATAAATGCAAAGTATTAACCATTTATGGTTAACTGACAAGAAATATTTAGAGTTACATTTATTATTTACAAGTAAGTTTGAAAGCATCCTCACAAGATCTTTATCAAGTAGATATATGCAATTGACCCCATTTTACAGACAAAATGCTATCTAGATTGCAAATGATACAATGGGTTGTATTGTGTTTTCTTTATAATTTTGTCATAATGAAGAAATGTCAATAAAGTGCAGAATCCCTTCCCAATGTTTGTTTCTATTTAAAAATAATTTAGGCATACATTGATACATTTAGGGGGTTTTTTTGTATATAATTCTATTGTTAAGATTCACCCACAATAACATTTTTGGGATTTTGTATATAATTCTATTGTTAAGATTTACCCACAATAACATTTTTGGGATTTTGTATATAATTCTATTGTTAAGATTCACCCACAATAACATTTTTGGGATTTTGTACTTTATTTTGATATATATTATTTTTTTCATGAATGAACATTATATAATTCTGATTTTCATATATGAGCACTGGGCTAGGGTCTTGTTCATTAAAAATGAAATGTTCATTTTTTATTTCTGACAGTAGTAAAAAAGCTCAACTTGGAAGTCATGCGCTTTTGACTAAAGCAGGTGCACAGGGTAAGAAGAAGTGCAAACCAACACCATATGCCTCACGACTGCCCAATCCTTTAGACCAAACTTGTATCCATCCAGAGTCTTACAACATTGCAATGAGGTAAGCAGCGGGAAAGCTTTTGAACCACTGATGCTGTTAATTTTTAAAATGAAACTACTGATTTTTCTGATAACAGCCTGCTAAGCCTTAAGAGGCAGGAATACTTACGTTATTTTGATGCTTTCTCCTCTTTCTTCAAGAAAAAGGTGTGCTTCAGAACATCTTTGCAAGTGAAGGGTTTCAGCTGGTGTGTTTTACCTCTTATGTGCATGCAAGCTTTTTGTTTTATTCTTTTCTGGTTTTGTTTCAATTTTGTGTTGCTTTTCAGTGAGGAAATCTGTGAATTTTCAAAACTTCGCCAGACTTTACTCCCATGACCCTGTCTTTTTCACATCATCACTTTGTCCCTCACTAAGGCCACTTTAGTCAATTTCCTTCTGTTTGCCAACTTCTTTTATGCTACACCACTTTTAGTTTGGACTTTAGGTTCACAGAGTATGGAGACAATTTATTCTAGAAAGGTCTAAAAACTTTCTTCTACCTTGCTCCATGTGTTATGTAAACATTACTAAATGGGGGGGCAGAACTAAAATAACTAAGAAGTAATTCCATTTGTTCTTAAAAATAATTAAGTGCCACACAAATTTTCAGTCAGTAGTAGTTTAGTACCTCGGCATCATTAAGAAGTACTTTTACATTGTTTCTTATGTTGAGCATGTGTGAAACAAACTTTCTACTTAGTGTCTTTTGACTACCAGAATTTTACTTGTGTGTTTGAGCGTGGACACAAGATACGAGCATGTGTTGTTTTTACGAGCCTTTGTAGTTAAATTCTGATATCATGAGATCTAATTAACCTGTATATATTAAGTTCCCTGATCCATGAACACCATGGTGGTGTTACTAAGTGACCTTTGGCTAAAAGAAGAAAATGGTTTTTGTGGAGGTCAGAAAACTGTAGGAGTCCATGTGTGCTTCTGGTTAGGGGATATTGCATCAGCTAATGGTAGTATAAGATGTGATCGTTTCTGTCATCACCCCTGCTTGAAATTAGACTCTGCTCATCCTCTTAAAAAAATGTTATCTCCTACCATAAACCAGCAATTATTTATTAAGTAATTAACAGTGAACAGGTTCTTGTCTTAAAATGTGCTGAAGCTAATTTCAGCAGTTGCTAGATGCTTTAGAATCCTTATCTCTGGTGAGACTATTACTCCTGGAGACCCAGTTGTACTTCCCATTTTATAAACAAAACCATATTTAAGCCTCAGAGAGAGATGCTGCATTTCTGAATGAATGAAGCTAGAGTTCCTGAGCTAAAAAAGTTTTACAAGATCTTGCATTTTTAGGACACCTTCCTTACAGTGTGTGCTCTGTTCTCTCTTGGGTGGAGATAATTCTATGTACAATATGATATGCATGGGTCACAGAATCCATGTGCTTTCCTTCGCTAGACACGCACTTTTGTTTCCATCCTCTCGTGCCACAGTTCATTGTTCTCTGTGCCTCATTCTACAGCCACCAGGCAATTGCCTGCTAGAGTCAATGTTCTTTTTTCAGGATTTGGTTAATAATCCATTTAGCTTTTCGGCCCTAGTACACTAATAAAATGGCCAATAGAAGTGTTCACAGTGTAGCCAGTTTCACTTGAAGGCTGATGTAGAAAGATGACTTCAGGGAACAGACAAGTGTAGCCAGTTAATGGCAGAATACTACAGGAACTTATCTGCATACAATTCCGTTACAAATGTTGATCAGAAAATAAAGAATTTTTACTTTAATTTCAGAGCAGCACAGATTACTTTTTTTGTCTGAAGTAGCGAGTAGGTTTTTTACTGTATAGGGCAGCTCAGATATTTACACAATGAGAACTCAGGAGACAATTGTAGTAGATAGCACAAATCACATAGTTGTGATTTGGAATTTGGCAGGCAACGCAGGATTAGCACTACTTAAATAAATAAAATTTTAATGGGCTCAATTTTTACATCTCAACCAAAAGATGGTAGTTTGAGTCACAGGCTTATGCATGATTTGGAAGGGAGGCTGCCACCTGTTGCACAGTCAACACTGCTTGGAAGGTGCCTTGGAGATTCTGAAAACGTGCCCAGGGTCAAACTCATTGGACTTGGAAAGCTGCAGAGCTGTTGCAGAAGTATGACGTGGCTACACACCAGTGCTACTTGTCATGTAATTTCTCTTTGGCTAATGCATTAAATGAAGTTTCTAGCTGTTCCATTGTCTGTTCTCTGTTTCTCACCAAACACTCTGCCTTCCTAGACTGAATTTTCAAATTAAGTATTTAGATCCAAGTGTCTGTTGTCAGTATTGTACCATTCAGATATTTTTTTAAATCCAAAATTATATTAGTTAATATAAAAAGAAATATAAAAACATAATAACCATATTTGCTAATGGAACACTGAAGCTAATAAGTGTAGCATCTGTCTGTGTAACTAACTGAATCAGACTGTTCAGCAGTATTTTTGTTTTTCTTCCAATCAAAAGATAGGTTCCTTGAAAGCTTGTTGAATAGGAAGGTGATAACTTCTACAGTATAGATTGTATTAACATACACTAGCTTGATATCACAAAATGGTGCAGAGAAGGGAGCATGTATCTCTGTTTTTTCATTGCAAGTAGCTATTTGAAGGAAAGAAAACACAGCTCTGCAGCAAACTTACAAAATTCTAGAAGTGAAGTATTAAAAATTAACACTCATGACATAAGGCCCTAATATAAACCAGACATCCATCTCTCAAGCAAGTAATGTTACAATTTAGCAATGATTATATATTTTACATTACTTTTTTAAAAAGCGTATGAGCTGTTAAACTTCTTGGAACCTATGGAAATGGCTTTCCAAACAAATTTGCTGCATTAATATGAATTTAAAAAAAAATAAAAATTCTACTATGAGACTGCATGGAGGATTCAGTCCAAAGCTTACTGGGGCTGTTGCCAAGTTTTGGTGATTTTGGTAGGCAATGGATGGGACTGGGATTGTAATTCCCTTTTGCTGAGCCTATGTTCATGAGAAAGACATGACTTGATCTTCAGGCTCTCAGAAGCTATGTTGTTGATTTGAACCATCTTGCTGAAATTAACCAACATGTTAGAGCTAATTTGATTTAAAACCTAATTGAAACTTTTTATAATTTAAATTAATGTGCATGAGAAAAACTGAGACTATTAGAGGTGGGTTAGAATCAGTATTTAATACATATATTTTTAAACAAAATGCATTATAAAGGAGTTCTGTTTCTTTGCTTCTTTCAAAGCATTTATTTTCCTGTACTTACATAGACTTTTGTCAGGGACCATGGCAAGCTCACACAGGTGGATCTGTGCTAATAAAAGGGAGAACTGCTGTCCTGAAGATGGGCAGATTTGATTCAAGGCATGAAAATGCACTATTACATACCTTTTACCACAGAAACTGAAATTAATGGAGTAGATGTAGCATAAATGAGTCATAAAGGCTTCCTCATGCAATGTGTACCACATCTTGCCATGAGAAAATCGTTTGTGAAAATTTTATTGGATTAAAAGTTTTCATGGGAAATTACATGTATTTTTAAACAAAACAAGCTGGTAAATCACCCACTGCTTCTATCCAAAATACCCAAAAGCTGCAGTCCACATTACAGATTTATGACATACAAAATTATCAGTTTTTAAAACAATGTTTTTGAGGGATAGAAGTTCACCAAAATTTAAAACCACTAATTTTCTTTTTCTGAACTATTTTGTAGCTTGAAAGAAAAATCCATTAAAAAGAAAAAAAAAGTTTAAAGAATTGCTCCCAAGTGGTGACTTTGGTTGCCAAGCTTTAGGCTGCAGCCAGTTTTTATGGCTGAATTAGAAACCCCTGAAAAACAGGGGGTTTATAATGGAAACACTGATGTAATTTTTACTGCAGTGGCACAAATGGTGCTGGTATGATTGATTTATGGCATTAAAACATCTTAACTTAAGATCTGTACAATTTCTGTAAAATTATTGGAAAACATCCTACTGGTGATTTAACACACTCTGCAGATGACCAAAACATTTTTGATCATGGTTTCCACATTGTCAAAGCTTGGCTTTGTCATGTGGAGTGACCAAGCTTACTAACATATCAAAATACTATGAATCAGGGTTTCCTAAAAGTTAAATAAAAGAACCAGCATTGTAGGCAGCCTATTTTACTGTAAAGCAGAGCTGTTTTTTAAGTTTCTGAGAAGTCTATATGTGAAAACCAGTTTATAATGGCAGAATTTTCAATATACAATTAATACAAAGTGTAGAGGATATCCAGTTTCTCGGTACATGTTGTAAAAGAACTGCTAGGAAAAACAAGGAAACATTTAGGAAGTCCCAAGAAGTTACAACCAGTTTATGCTTATAAACCAAAATGCTGGAAAGAAAATGCAATGTTTTTTCTTTGTTGTATCAGTCTGCTGGGTGCAGTTGGTTTTGTATGACTGAATCTTAACATTTACTGATTTTTATTTTAAACTCATAAAAATGCTTTTTGCTAAAGGTTGGCACTCAGAATGTGTATTTGCTGCTCACAAATTGCAGCATCTGGCAGACAGGTTGTATTTCAGTCTTAGAAATATTTTACCAATATTTAGAGAAGATCTGAAGTTGTGATTTAGCATAAGACAGATGGGGATCTTCCCTGAATAATTACTCAGGTTTAGGACCTTGCTGGGTAGAGGGTAGTACTGCTCACTGTGGATGGTCATGTCTAAGAGAAGTTTTTGACATTCTGAGCAGGGTGACTTGCAATGATTTATGTCTCAACCTTTTGCTATTTATTGATGTAATCCTTCTTGATATTGTCAGAAAGACTTCAAAATCTCTGAAGGATTCAAGAAAGCACTCATTCATGTGCCTATTCTTCAGCAAAGTAAACCATTTGTAGTTAAATGCTTTGCTGCAATGAGCATCAAGTTTATAACACTGTAGATGGAGTGATGACTTCTCAAATATTTCTAGTGTTTCTGCCACTCTTTTACTTGGGTGACATAGCAACTGATCAGTAGTATCTCAGTTGCTTTGCTGATAAG